GTGCGTGCGTGCGTGCGTGAGAGAGAGAGACAGGGTCACATCACAGTGGAGTCAGTACTTAACCGTGGCTTGTGTACTGCAAACACATACCAGCTTCATCACTGTGTCTGTCACGCGACTCTGTTCCCCTTTCGGGCTTGAACTGATGGTTAAACTAATGACATTTTTTACTGTCTTTACATTTCTTTTGAAAGCTGAAGCTGGTGATTATGGTAAGGGGCGTTACATTTCCGACGAGTGCTTGTGGTGTTCGGCCAATCACAATGCACTGGGTCAGCTGGCCAATCAGAGCAGACTGCGCTTGTCGGAAGGAGGGGCTTTGTAGAAAAGGAAGCGTTTGAGAGAGGCGGGGCATAGAGGACCTACAATAATGTACAGTATTTGAAAAATAATGTGTTTTTTGAACATTAAAGCATGTCAACATATTCTGATACACCAAATACACAAAATAATGATCTTTAAAAAAGCATCATATGACCCCTTTAATACTAGTAAAAACAAAGAATCTGTACCAGTTTCTTTGCTTCTGCCCCACTTTTGATCTTTTGAGGATATTTGGCGATCACAGACGCTGCTTTTCTGAAACAGAAAACACCAGACAGAGTATAAACATAAGTTACATATGTCATATGTCTAGTTATGATATGATATATTACATTATTAGACATTAGATAAGACTGTCTTACCTGTAAGCACTGTATTTATGGACGGCTCTGTTGACATTTCTCTCATAATTTGCCAATTCTGAAACGAGAAAGACCATTAAGACTAAACGTTTAGACATGCCTAGAAATATATTACTATAAAATGCTTTTCGACATTTATTAAATGAACAAAACAATCAGGAGAATTGGATCAAAGCTGGGCTACCAAACAAATAAGCTTGACATAAACACATTTAAACAGAAGTACAAATATATAGTAGGAAATAATTGTCAAATATTCGATGTTTTATTTATAAATTAAAAGTGAGTATAAACACTGCGTGCTTTTATTTTGTAGACGGAGCACTAATCTTGAAACTGCACTCTGATAGCATGCATTAAACTGCAAAAATCGGAGATCGTTGCTGTATTATTTCCAATTGTGTGTAAAGATAGGTCTAACATCCCACTAAAGTGAAGTTTCTTGTTTCAAAAAGACGTTTTGTCAGCAAAAGCGCTCTATTTCTATTCATTCGGCGTTTAAAGGTGCAGTTAGCTTAGCCGCATGCTAACCCGAGCTGCCATCAGCAAAACTCACCGATGAGAAAATCTGTGATTCCTTCGTTCAGAGTTTCCTGTGGCGCTTTTCTTTTACTCATAGTTGAGAGTTATTTAAAATATGGGTGGATAAATGTGTTTGTTTTCACGGTCTACCATTCAAGACCACAGCTGAGTACAGGACAAAGCCTTAGCATTAGCACTGTAGCCACGCAATATATGGCGGGGGCGGGGCTTGGAGGCCACGCCCATTACGCTTACGACCGACCAATCAGAGTCCTTCGTTTAATATTTACGAACACGCCCCGTCGCTGATAAATAAAGTCGCCACAAAAAGTACTTTTTGGAATATTTTGGGGTAATTTATGGGATTTCATTGGCATGATAAAACAAACACTGTGTATTTTTGAGTTTTTGTGGTTGGTGCAGATACTTGTGTAAAGGTGTAAAAGCGCCACTTTTTAGTACTGCAATACTCAAATTAATTTCAATGACACATCAAAACTATTCAATATAAAGATTTGCTAATATCATACAGCATTATGTTCAGCACCTTGCCATAGAAGACATTCAACAATTGTTACTGTACATGGCAGCAGAAATACTTTTGATAACAAAATCCAGAAGTAAATATTCCATAATTTACAGACAATTCTGAACTTTTAAACAAATCCACCAAATACTATGGAAACCCATATCTGCTACATAAGAAAAAAAAATCATACTTTGGTAAATCATAATTATGAATTATGAATTATGAGATAAAAGGTCATATTAATGAGATAGAGTCAAAACTGTCACATACTAAGCCATAATGGTGAAACAAAAGTAATTTATGAGATACATACATAATTATGAGATAGTTATGAGATAAAGTCAAAATTATTACACACTAAGTCATAATTTTGAGAATGGAACTTTTAACAAACAATCAAAATTTTAACAAAAATGTCTTCTATGTCATAATTAAAAAATATCTCACTTAATTATATACTTAGTGTGTCATAATTTTGATGTTTTTCTCATAATATTTGACTTTTCATCTCATAATTTTGACTTTTTTGATAATTATGGCTGTTTAATCTCATAATGATCTAACCAGAGCATATGATGAAATGATAGCAAAAATGAAATCAATGATTTCTGCCACTAATATGCGTCACATTTAGTCACAAATCTCTTTATAGTGTCAAGCGTTCAAATGTAGTGAACTCAGGAAACTAAAGAGCAGCTGCTGCTCTTAACAAATAACTAATAAATGCATAAATATAAAAGAAACCGCTTGATATGAGTGTGGTTTCTCAAGAGTCGACTTTATCCCGTGAGAAGATTTTGATGGCCTCCTCGACCTCTGAGAGCCGCTGGGCGAGTTGAGCGTGTCGAGAGCGAACGCTCATTGTGTCGGCTTTGACGGGGAGAGACTGCAGCTCACTGACCAGAGGCCTGTGAGCTACAGACACACACAAATCAATCAGTCCTCTCATCAATAATCAACTAAACATGAAGCTGTTCGTGACTGTCTTCGAGGGACTGCAGGGTCTCCTGTTTCTCTCTTTCAGACATCTGAGTGTGTCCAGCAGGAACGGACGGATCAGGAGTGTTTCTCCTCCTCTTCTCCTCCTCTTTCTTCCACTGCAACTTCCTCTGCTCCAGACTGATGAACCAAATGAGAGACGGTCAATGTTTAATCCAAAATTATGCAATGATGCAAAGGCCCTTTGTAGCGAATCCATGTGTTTTCATAAGAAAAATATCCATATTTCGAACATAATAAACACTTTTCTCTCACTTCCGTTATCTTTCATATACGCGGAAGGCGTATGAAGTATGCGCAGCGCGTGCGCCTCTGAGATATGCTAGTCTCGCAAGTTTGTTAACAGGAGCAAAGGAAGCAAAGTTTCCTTAATTTAGCAAAGGAAAACCAGTCTCCTCTTGGCTTATATCGAAATCCTCCGACATTTTCTTTGCAAATCTTCGGTTTGTACTTCTAATTCGTGACCGGCGTTTTGTTTTGTTGTCTCTCCGCATTCGTCACTAATCACGCAACGCCGACGTCTTACGTCATCCGCCGGCTCGTTTTCCGCATATAACAGTTGGCAGAAGTGAGAGAAAACTGTTTATTACATTTGAAATATGGATATTTTTCTTACAAAAACGCATGGATTCGCTACAGGAGGCCTTTATTCACCCCCCGGAGCCGTGTGTGGCACGTTTTATTATGAATGCGTGCTTTATTTGACAACTTTTGGACTGTAGCACTGCAACACCCACTGACTGCAATGATAGAGCTTGGAATAGCCAGGACAATTCTTAATATAACTCCGACTGGATTCGTAAGAAAGAAGAAAGTCATATACACCTAGGATGCTTCGAGGATGAGTAAAACACAGCCTAATTTTCATTTTTGGGTGAACTAACCCTTTAAAATCAAACTTGTTTCATAATGCACAAAAGGTACTCTGCAAATGGGGTTAATATAACTTAATATTTTAAAAGTTAAAATAATTACTATGTTTTATTTATGAGTACATATATTTCCATTTTATTATTTATATTATAATTAATTTATATATTAATTATTTTCATTTTCTTTAATTTAATATTTATAAAAGTTAATATAATTATAATATTTTATAGTATATATCTATATGTTTTATATTCAGACCAAAACGCTCTTAACATTCAGCGTTAATATAATTTAAGATTTTAAAAGTTAATATAATTATTATGTTTTACTTATAATTATACTAATTTCTCTTTTATTATTAATTATATTAGACATGTATATATTAAATGTTTTACATTCTGGCCAGAATGCTTTTAATATCAGTCTAATGATGAGGTCAACAGGTAATTATCATAAAATAAACACGCATTCATTTACATCAGCTTTTAGCAAGCAGGACTAATATAAGCTTCACCATGGCAACAACGCCTTAAAGAGACAGCAGCGGTGCAACCTTATGGATCACACATAATCACCACTGATCTATACATGACTGAAGTTCTCTATTATAGATCAGTGATAATCACTCATTTATATAATATAGCTTCATTATATATATACAGTGGGTACGGAAAGTATTCAGACCCCTTACATTTTTCACTCTTTGTTATATTGCAGCCATTTGCTAAAATCATTTAAGTTAATTTTTTTCCTCATTAATGTACACACAGCACCCGCCAGAAATATAACTTTTTTATTTTAAAAACAAACAAGCAAGCCCTGTCCAGATTTTAAATGTAACGCAAAAGTAACGTAACGCATTACTTTCCATAAAAAGTAACTAAGTAACGAAATTACTTACTTTGTAACGCAATAATGCATTACTTTTAAAAGTAACTTTCCCCAACACTGAGCTGCATATTACAATAAATACGCTAACCATATTATTTAGTAGTATCACTGGGGTACATAAGTAAACAGTATACTATATAGAATTTTGATTTTGTATATAAATGTTTATTGTAGCAATTGTATTTGTTGTTAAATGTTTTGTCATGACATAAAAAACTATATGTATATATATTAAAATAGACAAGTGTGCATGTGAGTGTGTATTAAAAGCATGCATTTATAATATATATATATACGCACAGTAAATACAATTATTAGTAGTAGGATTGGAATTACTATAACTGAAATTAATATGTGTCTTTATATATTCAATGTGGACATTTATAAAATCATTGCAGTCTTCATTCTTTTAGAGGTTTGCACAAATCTGGGTGAATAATAACGTGGTTTTTCAGGAGAAGTAAAGTTAAATATCATATACATTTACATAACCGAGGAGGAAAAATAGGCTGCGCATGCGCGGTTCGCGTCCGTTAGAAAAAGGCTGCAGATTGCGCATGCGCGGTTGGCGACGCGTCTGTTCCCCTTCAGTCTGTCCTTTCGCGCTGCACTGAAACATCGACACGGCAAACACGGTAGGCTTTTACTGATTTATCCTCAAAGCATTCTGCACCGCGACATTACTCAATACGCCACAAATACACAAGCTAATAATTCAAAGATCATGTCTGAGAAAGGACAGACGCAGAAAGGAAGCAGTGAGAGCTGCCATCACTGCAAGCCAAAGACATGCGGTGAGTGACGGACAGAGAGAAGACGGACCAACAACAACCTCACACAGACAAGACAGATCAATAGATAGATAGACAGACAGACAGATAGATAGACAGACATTCAGACAGACAGATAGATAGATAGATAGACAGACAGATCAATAGATAGACAGACAGATAGACAGACAAACAGATAGATAGATAGATAGACAGACAGACAGATCAATAGATAGATAGACAGATCAATAGATAGACAGACAAACAGATAGATAGATAGATAGACAGACAGACAGATCGATAGATAGATAGGCAGATTAAACATGGTAATTTTCACGTTACATATGAACCACATCCTCGCAAGAATTACATCTGTAATGCGTAACGAAACATTCAATCCTTTAATTTCAGGATAATTATGTAATTATTCAGCTCAAATAAAAAAAAATGAACATAACACAAGCTGTGCAGTTTGGCTTTAAACCCTCTGGTACACGAGCACCAAGCACTTCAGTCCTTATGCATCACTATAAATCTGATTGTCTGTGGTAATGAACTATATACTGTAGAACTAGTACTGAACCCAGAACTTTCCTTTAAAGAGCCCTGTGTGTGTGTGTGTAGCAACAGGCTGATAGTTGTTACGCTGCAGTGTGAGTGTGTGTAATAATGAGCTGTTATCATGCTTCTGGCTGCAGCGCTGCAGATGATCAGAGCAAACGCTGCACAGCTCCTGTAGCTTGCTGCCTTTAGCTGTCAGCTGTTCTTCCAGCCGTCTGTAAGACACTGGTCTGTCAGGAGGCGTGCGCTGCTGGTATTTGTAGACTGTTATAAACATGTTGCGCAACTTAACGTGCACAATGTCACACGACCGATGAGCTTCAAGCGTCTCTAAAGTGTCTCCTTGTCTCTTTTTTGTCCAGCAAACATGGCCGCCCCCCCTGCGTACGCTGACCTCGGCAAATCTGCCAAAGATATCTTCAGCAAAGGATATGGTGAGTGACTTTACAGAGCCACATAACTGTTAAATGTGTCACAAACATGAACTGTTCAGTGTCATTTCAGTCAGATTTCTGTAACGTGATACTGACACAAGAGAATCAATACTGACCTTCTGATAGATGGATTATGGGTTCAGGTCAAATGTTAAATGACAGAAAAGAGTTCTAGAAGAAAAAGGCATTGTGTTATGCAGGTACACAGTGTGCTGTGGTTGATGGTGTGTGTTTGATTGTGATCTCTGACCCCAGATCATGTCTGAGAAAGGACAGACGCAGAAAGGAAGCAGTGAGAGCTGCCATCACTGCAAGCCAAAGACATGCGGTGAGTGACGGACAGAGAGAAGACGTACCAACAACAACCTTACACAGACAGACAGACAGACAGATCAATAGATAGATAGACAGACAGACAGACAGATAGATAGATAGATAGACAAACAGATCAATAGATAGATAGACAGACAGACAGATCAATAGATAGACAGACAAACAGATAGATAGATAGATAGATAGATAGATAGACAGATCAATAGATAGACAGACAGATAGACAGACAAACAGATAGATAGATAGACAGATCAATAGATAGATAGATAGATAGGCAGATTAAACATGGTAATTTTCACGTTACATATGAACCACATCCTCGCAAGAATTACATCTGTAATGCGTAACGAAACATTCAATCCTTTAATTTCAGGATAATTATGTAATTTTCCAGCTCAAATAAAAAAAAATGAACATAACACAAGCTGTGCAGTTTGGCTTTAAACCCTCTGGTACACGAGCACCAAGCACTTCAGTCCTTATGCATCACTATAAATCTGATTGTCTGTGGTAATGAACAATATACTGTAGAACTAGTACTGAACCCAGAACTTTCCTTTAAAGAACCCTGTGTGTGTGTGTGTAGCAACAGGCTGATAGTTGTTACGCTGCAGTGTGAGTGTGTAATAATGAGCTGTTATCATGCTTCTGGCTGCAGCGCTGCAGATGATCAGAGCAAACGCTGCACAGCTCTTGTAGCTTGCTGCCTTTAGCTGTCAGCTGTTCTTCCAGCCGTCTGTAAGACACTGGTCTGTCAGGAGGCGTGCGCTGCTGGTATTTGTAGACTGTTATAAACATGTTGCGCAACTTAACGTGCACAATGTCACACGACCGATGAGCTTCAAGGGTCTCTAAAGTGTCTTCTTGTCTCTTTTTTGTCCAGCAAACATGGCCGCCCCCCCTGCGTACGCTGACCTCGGCAAATCTGCCAAAGATATCTTCAGCAAAGGATATGGTGAGTGACTTTACAGAGCCACATAACTGTTAAATGTGTCACAAACATGAACTGTTCAGTGTCATTTCAGTCAGATTTCTGTAACGTGATACTGACACAAGAGAATCAATACTGACCTTCTGATAGATGGATTATGGGTTCAGATCAAATGTTAAATGACAGGAAAGAGTTCTAGAAGAAAAAGGCCTTCGTTTTCCTTCCCAGAGCCTCATGGGAGTCATAACGCTCGCTGGAAGCATGGACATTCACACACATTCAGATAATCTGGGAGTGATTAAGACAGTCTTGATACTGCAGTTTGTAGAATTAGGTCAAATACTGATGTATATGCATTTGAGCTTATAGATCCGACTGTATGTGCTGCTTGAAGTTAAATGCATTGTTCAAAATCAGTCATTATATGACCGATCCCATCCTGGTGTGATGCATCTGTAGGGTTATTATACTCATCTAAAACAATAAAATAAAACTAAAACGACTTTAACTGAAATAAATAAAACAAAAATTGTTCTCAGGAGTTCTCCTCCGGCGGCTCCAGTAACACAGACACCGGAAAGGCGGCTGGAAACCTGGAGACCAAGTACAAAGTGAAGGATCTGGGCTTGACTTTGAACCAGAAGTGGAACACAGATAATGTTCTGACCACTGAAGTGACTCTGGAAGATCAGGTGAGTCCAGGTCGCCAATCCTAACGTTATGCCTAAAGTGTTTAAATGGTTAAATAATAGGGATGGGACAATATATCGATATATCGTTGTCCTTCTCCATGCGATACGAGAATCGATATCTGGCGCCAAATATCGATATTTTACTACAATACAATACTACAATATATTACAACAATAAGGCGCTCTATATAGATTTCCCTGCTCCCAGCATCTAAAAAATGCGTGGAAATCACGGCCGCGCCATTTCCACCTTATTTCCAAAGCGCTCTGAGCAACCATGAACCGCGTTCTCTATGAAGATGGGGAAGTATGAGGAACCGAAGGATAAACAGATTTCCAGCCACTGTATTAGCTCTACTGCTATATATATGTTTATGGAGAACAGCTATCAGCGTGGACTGTAGGCATAGATCACATTATCATTGCAGAGCGCATATTGAGTCCGTGAGTAGCCTGACCTCTCCGCTCGCATCGCAGGTGGATTTACCTCACTAAATGAGTGAGAGAGAGCGGCGCCGGCCTGTCCAGTTTTATGTCAACAAAACTGGATTCTCTCCCTCTCTCTCAGATATTGCAAGTGGGCAAATTATAATTGCAAATTATGCAGTAGGCAGTGGGCACCGACCGGCAGAAACATAAATCTGCACCTATGGCATGGAAGACGAAACAAAACCTCGTCAGAGCCGTAATGTGGCGCAGAAGTGTGCTGTGTGTGTGCTTGCCACATGTCTACATTTAAAATAACGAACCTGAGCGAGCAAAAGAGGCGATGTGAATGGCTATTTTTTCCACTGCATGTCACGTGTGCGGGGCTCCATTTTTATGATTAGAGGAGAGGAGAGGAAAGGTTGAGAAAGCACTCCAGGTAAATTTTGAAATGTACCGGGTTTATATATAGGCTATATATAAAGTTGATAAGCAGTTAAATGTGTTGGTTTACTCACAAAGAAAAGTGTAAGCTTTTAGTGAGTCCAAGAATGTTGACACCGGAAAGGCGGCTGGAAACCTGGAGACCAAGTACAAAGTGAAGGATCTGGGCTTGACTTTGAACCAGAAGTGGAACACAGATAATGTTCTGACCACTGAAGTGACTCTGGAAGATCAGGTGAGTCCAGGTCGCCAAACCTAACGTTATGCCTAAAGCTTTTAAATGGTTAAATAATAGGGGTGGGACAATATATCAATATGTCGATATATCGTTGTCCTTCCCATGCGATACGAGAATCGATATCTGGTGCCAAATATCGATATTTTACTACAATACAATACTACAATATATTACAACAATAAGGCGCTCTATATAGATTTCCCTGCTCCCAGCATCTAAAAAATGTGTAGAAATCACAGCCGTGCCATTTCCACCTTCTTTCCAAAGCGCTCGGAGCAACCATGAACCGCGTTCTCTATGAAGATGGGGAAGTATGAGGAACCGAAGATTTCCAGCCACTGTATTAGCTCTACTGCTATATATATGTTTATGGAGATGAGAACTAAAAAATTGCCCCGGAACAGCTATCAGCATGGACTGTAGGCATAGATCACGTTATCATTGCAGAGCGCATATTGAGTCCGTGAGTAGCCTGACCTCTCCGCTCGGATCACAGGTGGATTTACCTCACTAAATGAGTGAGAGAGAGCGGCGCCGGCACGTCCGGTTTTATGTCAACAAAACTGGATTCTCTCCCTCTCTCTCAGATATTGCAAGTGCGCTTTATGCAGTAGGCAGTGGGCACCGACCGGCAGAAACATAAATCTGCACCTATGGCATGGACGACGAAACAAAACCTTGTCAGAGCCGTAATTCGGCGCAGAAGTGTGCAGTGTGTGTGCTTGCCGCGCATCTACATTTAAAATAACGAACCTGAGCGAGCAAAAGAGGCGATGTGAATGGCTATTTTTTCCCCTGCATGTCATGTGTGCGGGGCTCCGTTTTTATGATGAGAGGTTGAGAAAGCACTCCAGGTAAATTTTGAAATGTACCGGGTTTATATATAGGCTATATATAAAGTTGATAAGCAGTTAAATGTGTTGGTTTACACAAAGAAAAGTGTAAGATTTTAGTGAGTCCAAGAATAAAATGATTAATTTCCTTAGCATGTTAAATTTGATTTACAGAACATTTGTGCTGTTTTCTAACAGTTTGGACTTGAATAAAGAGAGAAAACTTGCACTTAACTTGTTCACAGGCATTTTGTTTTCATAGTTAGACAGATATCGTGATGCATCATTATAGAATTGTCTCGCAATATATCGATTATCGCAGAATCGTAGTATCGTGGTATTATCGTGAGCCATGTATCGTGATTCGTATCATATCGTGAGGTACCCTGCGATTCCCACCCCTATTAAATAATGCACTGTTTTGTCTTGTTTCTGTGTAGCTGGCCAAAGGTCTGAAGCTGGGACTGGACACTTCATTTGTGCCCAACACTGGGTATGTGAACACTTTAATTGGACAAAAGATTAAGTTTTATTATTAAAAAGTCACTATAATAAAAAAGTAACTTTTTTGGATTTTGCATTTTGAATTGTGAATTGTCGCCATGTTTTGATGTATTGAATATTAAATTAAGATCATGAACATGGATGATATTATTCTTTATTTAAAAAATTATATTTAAAAATAAAATATATTAATAAAAATAAAACAATACAACTCTTAATAAAATTAAAAACTAATAAAATAAAGGTCTTAATAAAAAATAAGTAACTTTTTTTTAAAATAAAAGTTATATTTTGTTGATTTGGATGATGTATTTTGAAATGTGACTTGTCGCCATGTTTTGCTGTATTTGTCAGGATTCTGGACTTGTTTGTGTCGTGTTTTGCCCGTTTCTGGTCCTGTGTTTCCTTTTTTTGGTCCTTCCTGTTTCCATTAGGTTCCCTCATTAGTTCATCATTTGTTTCCAGCTGTGTTTAGTTAATTATCCTCATTTCCCTGTGTACTCAAGTCCTAGTCTGTTCCGTTTGTGTTTGTCAGGTCTACTCGTTCTCTACGTGTGTTGGCTTTAGCTCCTATTGTGGATTATCTCCTGAGTTTCCTTTATTAAAGACCGTTCTCGTTTACTCGTGCCTCCTGTGCTTCCTCAACAGCGTAATGTGACAGTATTGAATATTAAATTAGGATAAAGAATATGAATGATATTATTTTTAGTTAATGAAAAATATACAATAAAAATAAATAAAGATATATTAATAAAATAAAAAAACAATAATTATCTTAATAAAATTAAAGATTTTAATAATATAAAATAAAAGTCTTAAAGGTGCCATAGAATGGAAAACTGTGTTTACCTTGGCATAGCTGAATAATAACAGTTCTGTACATGGAAATGACATACACCATTGTTTCCTCCTCCTTATGTAAATCTCGTGCATGCAAAAGACCTATGAAAAATAGGCGAATCAGAACATAACACCGACTGTGACGTTACAGTCGGGAACACTAATGGTGCGTTCAAGTCATGTCGGATAGATCATATTTACGAGTTGAACACACATGAATGCCACCACAAAGTCGTTATTACGAGTGGGAAACTCTTTTTCTTTAAGCCCCGAGTTTCCGAGTTGGGGGCATGTCAATGAGAAACATGGCGGAATCGATGGATGCAACGTCTGTAGTTGACGGTAAATTTTTGTTTAAATTGATAGTTTAGTTGTCCTATAAAGATTGCCAAAGTAAAACATAAATCACAATACTTATAGGTATTAAGCGGTGACATTGTCAGGCTTTTTATTTACAAAAAATACGCTTTTTGAATGTGGCAGGATTGTAATATAACAATTAATAAGTTTTTATGCGATACGGATTAAAGTGGCTTCATAAATTACTTTTTAAAAATATTAATTCTTTAATTAAATCGAATTCTTTGCTCTTCATTTTCTATAAGCAGAGTTAACAGACCCTGTTGTATTTTCTTGTAATTTATTAAAAGAAGGTACACCGCCATCTTATGCCGACTAAACTGACTTGAACGCACCTGACGTCGTAATTACGACTTGTCAACTCCTAGTACGAACGTCCCAGGAGGACTTGAACGCAGCATAATAGTTACGCCCCCAACATTTGCATATACCAGCCCATGTTCTAAGTTCTAAGTTCTGCAGGTATTGTGAAGAAACAAGCGAGGATAATAGCGAAAATGGCAGATCATGGAAATAAATGTTATGTTCCAGGCTGTGCAGGGGATGTGATGTGCAGGGATGGGTTGGTGTCTGTATTCAGAGAGGCACGGAAAACAAATAACACGCGTTCTAATAAAATAATGCGAGCCACTAAAGGGACATGTTAGCTGCTTGCTAGCGGTAGCCTGTTACATTACAGTACATAAGATTTCACTTACCACATAAACAGAGTAAGGAGAGATGACTGAGGACGATTTACAGATCCTGAGCACCACTGAAAAGCATCTGATCTTGTAAAATGTGTGGTACTGCCGCTGTAGTTTACACAGATCACATGTGATCGCAAATTTCGAAAGTGAAAGTAAAACGCGATCGTGCATTCAATGGTGTTTCAATGCCCCGCATATTAATAGCGGCTCCCTGATGCCCGCATTTTATATACAGTATAATTACCCAACGATATAACTGTGAGAGACATTATTGAAATATATATTTTCCCTGTGTTTCCTTCCTGCTGTGTGAGCTACTGAAATGAGCCGCACTGAGAAACAGCCAATCAAATTCTGTCATTTTCTATTGTCAGTTCCACCTATTCAGTAACTGCACTGTCATCCTCTCTCTGCTATCTTCTTCAGGAAGAAGAGCGGTAAGCTGAAGACGGGCTATAAGCGTGATTACATGAATGTGGGCTGTGATATAGATTTCGACCTGGCTGGACCGACGATTCACGCCGCAGCCGTTCTGGGTTATGAGGGCTGGCTGGCTGGGTATCAGATGGCCTTCGACACGGCCAAGTCCAAACTGGCCCAGAACAACTTCGCTTTGGGCTACAAGGCAGGAGACTTCCAGCTACACACCAATGTGTGAGGAAACACTTGAGCAACATTCACATTAAAAGTGTTTTCATTTCAGTTAACATTTCAAGTATTAATTTTTTTATGGTTTTAGTTAACGATAATAATGCTGGCTCATAGTGCTAATGAGATGTGATTAACAGTATGTACACTACCAGTCCAAAGTTTTTGAACAGTAAGATTGTTAATGTTTTTTTTAAAGAAGTCTCTTCTGCTCACCAAGCCTGCATTTATTTGATTCAAAGTACAGTCAAATTCTGAAATATCTAGTCAAAATAACTGTTTTCTATGTGAATATATTTTAAAATGTAATTTATTCCTGTGATTTCAAAGCTGAATTTTTAGCATCATTACTGCAGTCACGTGATCCTTCAGAAATCATTCTAATATTCTTATTTGCTGCTCAAAAACATTATTATTATGATGTTGAAAACGGCGGAGTAGAATTTTTTCAGGTTTCTTTGATGAATAGAAAGTTCAGAAGAGCAGCATTTATCTGAAATAGAAATCTTTTGTAACATTATAAATGTCTTTATCATCACTTTTGATCAATTTAAAGCATCCTTGCTAAATAAAAGCATTAATATCTATCCCCCCCCTACTCAAACACACCTGAGCATGCTAATCAATGTCTTCAGGATCATTAGAAAATCACAGGTAGGTGACTTTGATCATGGTTGGAGCTAAACCCTCCAGGGCAAGATTTGAGGAACGATCAAATAAATGCAGGCTTGGTGAGCAGAAGAGACTTCTTTAAAAACATAAAAAATCTAACTGTTCAGAAGCTTTTGACTGCTAGTGTAGTGTTCTGAAGTTAATGGTGTTGTTTGCTGCAGTAATGATGGCACAGAGTTCGGCGGCTCCATCTATCAGAAGGTGAACGGTCAGTTGGAGACGGCGGTCAATCTGGCCTGGACCGCAGGCAGTAACAACACACGCTTTGGCATCGCTGCTAAATACCAGCTAGATAAAGACTCCTCCATCTCTGTGAGCACAAACCATAATCCTATAACAGCTGACCAGTGTCACTGACTGTAGATGATAACCCTGTGTCTCTGTTCAGGCCAAAGTCAACAACGCTAGTCTGGTTGGAGTAGGATACACACAGAGCCTCCGGCCAGGTGAGCAAACACCTTCATGTCATTACTCCTCTCGTTAAAGGATGAATGTCTGAATATTAAAGTTTGTTGGCTTGAAAAGCTTGGAAGTTTGAAGATTTTACTCAAAGCCAGTAAAATTGTATTAACATGTTCTAACACGTTGATAAAAAGCAAGTTGTAAACATGATTTAGCATGTTGCTAGAATGATCTAGCACATTGTTTGCATATTTTAGCACATTGCTAACATGTTGCAAGCATGTTGCTAACATGTTTGAGCATGTTTCTAACATTTTCAGCATGTTTTTACCTGTTTTAGCATGTTGCTAACCTGCTTTATCATGTTGCTAGCATGTTTTAACATGTCGATAACCTGTTTTAGCATATTGTTAAAACAACACGATAGCATGTTAGTATGTTGCTAGCATGTTTTAACATGTCACTAACCTGTTTTAGCATGTTAGCAATATTTAACATGTTGTTAGCATGTTGCTTAGTATGTTTTAGCATGTTGCTAGCAATATTTAACACGTTTGCTAACACGTTGAACATGTTGTTAACCTGTTTTAGCATGTTAGTAACATTTTACACGTTGATAGCATGTTGTTAGTATGTTTTAACATATTCCTAGAATGTTTTAACGTGTTGCTAGCATGTTTTAACATGTCGATAACCTGTTTTAGCATTTTGCTAACTTGTTTTAGCGTATTGTTAACAAAACTTTACACGATAGCATGTTAGTATGTTGCTAGTATGTTTTAGCACGTTGCTAGCATTTTTTAACATGCCACTAACCTATTTTAACATTTGTTGCTAGCATGTTTTTAACATGTTGTTATCAATATTTAACATGTTGATAGCATGTTAGCATGTTCCTTAGTATGTTTTAACATGTTGCTAGCATGTTTTAGCATTTTATTAACATTTTACACATTGCTAGCATGTTGTTAGTATGTTTTAACATATTCCTAGTATGTTTAGCGTGTTGCTAACAATATTTAACACATTGCTAGCATGTTTTAACGTGCCCCTCACCTGTTTTAACATGTTGCTAGTATCTTTTAGCATGTATAGCATGTTATGCTAGGGTATCTGGAAACCTTTGTTAGTGATAGACAGCTCAAATCTTCTGTGTTATTCTCTTACTCTGCATGTGATACAAAGGTTTTGACCCGCTCACTGAAAGCTTGTGGGATTTTTCATGGTTTTGATCGTCTGGTTCATGAAAGCCGAACAGTCTGAAGGTCTGAGTCGAGTCTGGTGGCTGTAGCTGGAACACTCTAGGAGGAGAAGGATTTCAGTATGTCGTGTCAAGCCAACATAAGAAGTACTAGTGAAGCATAATAAATGCTGTATCTTCCGCAGGTGTGAAACTCACTCTGTCCGCTCTGATCGACGCTAAGAACTTCAACGCCGGAGGACATAAGGTGGGCATGGGCTTCGAGCTGGAGGTGTAACCACACAGAGACGCACTGATGGGAAGTAAAGAAACACAGGGAGCTGACGGCACGACTTCAGCCCCTGCAGAAACACACGTCACCCTTTCCCCCCGTAATTCCTCCTAAACTAATCTGGCCTTAAAACCCCTGTAGAACCAATAAGAACCAGGATCAGTGATTCCTGGCCACACCAATCCTCCATCACCAGCTCACTATTAGACAACAGCTTCCTCTTGGTCAACATATCATAGCGCTTTTAATGTTACACACGTGGCACCATATCATTTCTTTTTTTAACTAGATAAATACTGAGTTTCTGGTTTCTGAGCAGTCACAGAGGATCTGATGTGTACGTTGTGCTTTTAGTTCATGGGTTTAATGATAAATCAGAAACGCATCTCTAAATGTCAAGCCCCTCACTTTTGCCCACATTGCCAAATGCACAATGTTTTATCACAGGTTTGTTGTCTGTGTTTGTGGGCTGGAATTATTAGAGGACGGTCCATGAGTTTTTTTGTTTTTATCCCCATAAAAAAAGTGATTTATGTTGAAAGCAGAGGACTAGAAGGAGAACTGATGTTGTGGAACTCAATAAAGAGGAATGTTGACTGAATAAAACCTCGTTTCATTTGCTTTTTAGAAAGCAAACACTGTTCATGTAGTAAAAAATTCTAATGTTTCAACATTAAATGAAATTACACTAGAAAAAAAAAACGTAAGCAAAATACCTAATCTTTTTTATTTTTGTTTTTTGTGTATAAAAACCCTGTACACCAGTGTTATTAGAGTTAACTAAAACCTTTAAAAAAAATTAAAAAAAACATTAACAAAAACTGGAAGGGGGAAAAATTTATAAAAAATATACATATATAAAAAAAAAAAGACAAAAACACCAAAAATTACAAAAAAAAATTATCTGCCTATTTTCATAACTTTAGATATATTTCAGAAGTTTAAGTACTAAAATGTTTACATTTAATTAAATTGCACTAGAAAACATGTACAGACAAAATACTTGTATAAAACGTTTTATTTTATTAATTTTTTTGTGTGTAGAAAAAACCCTGTACACCGGTGCTATTATAGTTAACTAAAACATGAAATAACACGCGCTAAAGAGACTAAAACTGAAAAAAAAGAATAGAAAATATACCTATTAAAAATGACAAAGTAAAATTAACATGAAAACAAAATATAAATTAAAAACTAATTCAAAATATTCATAAAAACTATATCTCAGTGATACTAAAAGTGATGCACTGCTGTACGTTTCTCGGCATATAAAAATAATTTTCATAACTTTAGATATATTTAAGAAGTTTAAGCACTAAAAAGCTAATTTATTTGACATTTAATGAAATTGCACTAGAAAACATGAACACAAAATACTTGGATACATTTGATTTATTTTTATTTAAAATGTTTGTGGGTAAAAAAACCTTTTCGGTGTACCAATTTTTTTCTCAGCATATAAACATAATTTCCCTTAATGAAACTGTACTTTACATAAGTTCACATGCTCATGTGTGTGTGATCTAGAAAGGTTTCCTTTTTGTCATGAAATCTTCATAGCATCATTAAGGATGAAATGTCCACATTTATACACTGACACCTACTGAGTGATCAGACACTTGGTCTGTCTAGTCACAGTGAGGTAATAAGGAATTAGGATGGATTTATATTTTAATTTATTCAATAAGCAGATGCTTTTATTCAGAGTGACTTACAAATGAGGTATAGCACAAGCTATTTGTCATGGAGCCAACAACATTTATACTACACTATTACATGTGCACAAAATGTGAATTTGCATAGAAAACATCAGAAAGGCTGGAAAACGGTCAAGTATTCTGATGCAAGAATCCTTAACATTAACATAAATGATTAAAAAACTATATTTAAGGGTTTATAACCTCTTAAAAGTAAGAAATGCATTGAGTAAATGACTGGAGTGTGATTTCTCAGGAATGAATTGTCAGCACACACTGCCTGCAGTATCGTGTTTCTGCCAGCTGGTGGCAGAACAGCGTAATGTTTGTTCCCTTTTTGACAAACACTCACTGGTAACCTGTGTATCCTCAGGATCAAGCCAAATCCTGCCCCCCGTTCAACCACTTCCACTCTCTCAGTATCTGAAAGAGAAAGAGATCAATGTCAGTGATGAATATAATCTCTGATCTGTGCGTTTTATGGACGTTTCCTGTGGCTGGATTCAGGAAACATTCTTAAAGGAACAGTTCACTCAAAAAAATTTGTTGAGAATGTCCCCACCCTCAGGTCATCCAAGATTAGGATGAGCTTGTTTCTTCATCAGATTTGTAGAAATGTAGCATTGCATCAGTGTCTCAGCAATGGATGCTCTGCAGTGAATGGGTGCCGTCAGAATGAGAGTCCAAACAGCTGATAAAAACATCACAATAATCCACAAGTAATCCACCCCACTCCAGTCCATCAGTTAACATCTGGAGAAGCCAAAAGCTGCGTGTTTGTAAGAAACAAATCCATCATTAAGACATTTTTAACTTCAAACCGTTGCTTCTGACTAAAATATAAGTCCATAATCCATAATAACGCTTCCTCCAGTGAAAAAGTCATCTCATCTGAATCAGGAGAGAAATCTGCACAGATTAAGCAGCGTTTACAAGAGAAAACTGTTCTGAACAGACGAAACAAATATGTAGGTGGATTCTGTTGTGAGAGGACAACAGGAGATGGACTTTTTCACTGGAGGAAGCGTTATTATGGATTATGGACTTATATTTTAGTCAGAAGCAACGGTTTGAAGTTAAAAATGTCTTAATGATGGATTTGTTTCTTACAGACAGGCAGCTTTTGTCTTCTCCAGATGTGAACTGATGGACTGGAGTGGTGTGGATTATTGTGATGTTTTTATCAGCTGTTTGGACTCTCATTCTGACGGCACCCATTCTCTGCAGAGCATCCATTGCTGAGCAAGTGATAGAATGCTACATTTCTCCAAATCTGATGAAGAAACAAGCTCATCCTAATCTTGGATGGCCTGAGAGTGAGCACATTTTTTAGCAAATTTCATTTTTGCTGAATTTGAAATTCAGTAACAACTCTACAAATACGAGTCAAATAGCTATATTTCTCAAATGAGTTACCTGCATGCTGGTCTCTGTTTCCTCAATGGTGTCTTGCACTAAACTCTGCAGGCGGCTCTCAAACATCTTGCTCTCCTCAATCACAAGCAGAGACTCGTCTCTGAACACACACACACACAAGAGAGCAACACTCATGATGGAAACATGCAAATGCATGCAAAGTGTCTCATGCACTGAAGCTGGACTCACGCCTGCGGTACGTCGGACGGTCTGTGGGACATCAGCGGGTGTGCAGGGGCCGGCGGGGTTCGTCCTCCGTCTGGACTGCCGCTCACTGGACTACGAACTTTACTCTAAAACACACACACGCTCAAGTCAAGCACACGGCATCGTGCATGTGCGCACATGCATACTGTAGAAGGAGTATGAATAGTATGCATACACAGGCCACTTTGAGCAGGTTCCACAGCTCCTTCTGTCTCTTCTCTTGCAGGTGCTGCAGCTGTTTCTCGCTGCGGGCCATCGCACTCACC